CGGTTGCTTGGTTAGAGAAAAAAAAAATTCGGCTACGGGGGCGCGTCCACCAAAACCAATTCGCCGAGCCCTGGAACCCCGCGAGAAAGTTGCAACTTGCGGACATACTAATTACGAGGAGTGACAGGCCACGTAGTCCAGCTGCCATTGGGCCACGAACGACTGGCGTCTGGGCCGGCGGTTGCGAGCCGAAAGCTTCAAGTCAAAGCGGGTGGTGGTGCACAGGCATCCGCACCTGTCGGCGGTCGGTGAAGGCGGCCGGGAGAGTTCAAATGTTCACTGACAGTGGCTGACGCAGGCTGTCTCGACGAGCTTGTTGTCTCGTCTGACGGGCCGCCTCTTGAGGCACCAAACTATTCGAATTGCGCCTCGAACCTTGTGACGAAAGTCGGGAACTCCGCGGGGGCCTACTAAGCAACCTGAGGCGCCATGGAGAACATCCCCGGTTCGACAAGATGAGTCTCCTTTCGCGTTGCTCTATCAATCGCACGAGCTTCACGCCAACATGGGTCCAAGACGACACGCTGTTTGGGCCGACTCCTAAGGGCGTTGATGAAGATTGTCAAAGGGCAAAATGGACATGATTTTATCCCGTTGTCCAGCTTCCCACATGGCCCGATCCCGGACCAGGCCCAGAAAGCCACCGAGACCCCCCCCCCCAACATGTCTCTCGTCCAAGCGGTCGGAGATTTACTGACATAAGATCGAGGACAAGATGCTGGGTAACACCATTGGGTCGTCGTGGGTGGTGTTGGCGTGCATCCGTCTGTGTGTTTCCTCCCGATCGCGATTTGACTCATCAGACGCGAGAAGGAAATTCGAGAAGCAATGGCCACAACAAAAACATGGCATTCAGGCACCTTCCCATGGCGAGGGACATGGTCTCACCCGGTATTTGCACACCGCGAAGGAGGAACGGAAGAAGGAAGGAAAACAAGATCACCACCACCGTTGGGCCACCAAGCTAAGCTATTGGGTTGCGTGCCGCGAATGGGCGGCGACGTAGAGGGCGGTGCGAAGAAATCCCATCTCGATGCGAAAATCATCGATCACGCACCTCCCGCCCCGATCACTTGCGGCAGCCTAGTCCGGCCCTGCGACAGACGTCATCCCCTCGGGGTCGAGCCTGGCAGTGATCGTCATTTCTCAAGAACCCCCCCCCCGGCCTCCAGACCCTCTTCCCCAAGACCCAAGACAAGGAGATGAAGAGCTCGCCTCGCCCATCTGTATCGAGATCCTGCTCACCCGGGCCGTCATTCTCATGCGGTCGCATCGTCCTTTTTCTGAAGCACTTTCACAATTCGAAGCATCAGCGCCATGCCAGTGGCCCCCCGATGTCGATGCCGATGCCATGGCCACATCGGCGGCCGTCGTACCCGTCAACAACAAACTGGGATACCGCGACAATAACAACACCATCACTGAGGCGGAGGGGGGCGCAATACGATAACATGTCGGTCAAGAGTCAGACTGACCGGAGAGCCCACCGAGAAACCGGATTGGATATCTTTACCTTGTTTATTTACCCGCGCGTACAAGACCTTGGCCATTCGGCGCTACGAGGCCGCACGATACGCTGGACTGATGAGCCCACCTTTGCGCTATTGAAGATTACCTGCATGATAAGGGAAGACAAGGCGTCACGAACAATCCAATGAGGCAGCACGATGGCTTCGGGAGCTTGCCAGAGCCAAACTTTCAGCTCAGGGTTTGGCGCCGACAGACCGGCTAGCTACTAAGTCTCGTCGTCCACCGGACAGGCAAACATGAAGCGATGCCTCGTGACCGACTCCCGCGATGGCGTTTCCCCTCGGTGCCCCTCTCCCCCGGTCGTTCGGGTTGCTCAGCTCTCTGCCTTGTCGCGCACAGAGCCTGTCGCTTGCTTCCCCTCTTTTTCTCACTCCTTTGCCCCTCCTTCTGGTGCATTTTCCGGGAAGCCCAGCCCGCGATCAAACGCGCATCCACGCCAGCTTCGAGTTACGGGCAATGCAGAGCGTGGGAAACGATGAGGTTTTCTTTTTTCTTCTTCAAATTTTGATTTCGGGGGTTTTTTTTTTCAACTCCTATCTGCTTGGCCGCTCGGCTCTTGCCTCGACGTTTGAGAATTACTTCTAGTCCGGGCCCAGTTGGTGTGATCAACGGTGCCGTTCGACGCCGTAACGGGGCTTCCTCTGTTTCTCCTTTGTTCCCCCTCCTCGCTGGGACGCCCATGGTGAAGCAGGAACGCGGGTGCCGGCGTCGAGGGGCGCCACGGCGTTGCATTGCGTGCGGGAATGGAAAGACAGACGTCTTTTTCTGCTCAAAGTGAGGGGGATTTTTTTGATTTTTTTTGCTCGGCACGGCACTCGTGTTTTCAAGGCGGGACACATTTTTTGTTTACAAACTGCGGGCTCGCGACTCATGTAAACAATGGGCCTCTGCAGACCCTGCTTCCGAGACCCCTGTTCCAACGCGAAGTCACGTGCATTCCGCCAGGATGGCGGTTCCAAAGTGTGACGTCTTCGTTTAGCCGCCGTCATCCAGGCGTTTGGCAGCTGGCAGTACGGTCCGGTTGGCGGGCCTGATGATGATGGTGGTGTGGGGGTGTGGGGCTCGAAGGAGGACGCGGGGACGTGCACAGGAGCACGAACCAGGGGACCAGCAACAGTATCAGCATCAGCATCAGCATCAGCAGGCAGTACACTAGGTTCAACAACACTAGGTACAGGAAACGTCCGCGGTGGAGCTTCAGCTCGGGCTTCGGTTTGGACTTGGGATGTTTGGGGAGCTCCCGCCTGCTCACCTCGTCACCTCGACGAGACTCGAGTTGCGGCGCGGTGGAGTCGACGCGCCTCGGTATCCTCGTACGGACGACCTCCGATTTCGTCTTGTCGACACCCAGCTCCGCGGGGTGCACTACATCACATCACATCATCGCTCGCCGGGATGCCAGAGAGCCGAGCCTTGACTTCCACCTGGTCGCCTTGGAAATGGAGTCGCGCCGAGCAGAGTGCCGCCTTGCATGTGCTGACGATATCGTGATGCGCAGGGCTGTCAAACTGCCCTGCTTACCCCTCCTTCTCTCTAAGTATTTCGCTCTCGCCTCCCAGAATGCCACTCTCTTCACCATGCCCCCCGGAACTGCTGGGTGTTGCTGGGCTGAGACTGACTCGATGGAGGGGGGGGGGGGGGGGAGGAGGATTCCGAACGTCGCTGGACTGGGTTCCCCGCTCTGACTATCAGGGGGAGCTTCTATTCTGAGGCACAGCAAAGGATCGAAGCCTGCAAGGGCAGTTACGGGGATGCAAGCTCCAAGACGAGTGGCCCAAAACTCCGATGTAGTGTAGTGTAGCTGTTCGCTTGAGTGCGATACGAAGATCCCAAAGTTGGGTCGAAACAATGTCGCCGTGCATTTGAACTGGGGACCGACGGTTTCTCATTAATTGAGCTTTGCTACCAACACTGCCGACCCTTCGTAGAGGATCCCGCGCACCGGTCTCTGAAACGAACGATATCACCCGGCGAGCCGGGTTCTCCATTTGCAGTGTCGCCAAACAATGGGAACGAGCTCTACAACGTATCTGTCTGCCTTGTCCACCTGACCGACTGGACGGGGGGCTCCTGTCTGACCCGACTCCTCCTCCATTCCCCCGGTCCATGTCGCGACGAGAAGCACCCAGCGCGACGGCGGAACGAAGCATGAGCATGTACACCGGCCGATTCCGCAAGTGCCAGCCAGATCAGCCTCCAGTTGGCGCACGAACGAGCCGCCTGAGCAAGGTATACCCTCCGCCTCGTTCGATCGTGTTGGGAGGAGCATGAAGCTGCGCAATGCGCCTTGGATTGATAATCATCCATCTCAAACATTGAACGCATCTGAACCCCTCGTCACGGTCACACTTGATGGGCGAACCCCCGCATGCGCCACCCAACGCCCCCCCAGTCCTAAAACATCATCACAAGGGTTATGCAAAAACTAATGAAGAACAAAAAAAAATTGTCCGATTATCTGACGGCCCTGTCTGTCTGTCTGTCTGTCCCCGGGTGGTTCCCCCCGCGACGACTTCAACGACATTTTCAGGGTCCATTTTCGCTTGCGCATGTCTCCCCCCTCAGCTCTCCTCATCTACGGTACCGCCATCCCCCACTTTCCCCAAGACCTCGATCACACTGCAACGGGAAACTGGCAACGGCCAGATCGGGCGAGAGGAAGGGGGGACCGCCACAAGGTCAGACGACCGACCGGCCGAGCCCGGCATCCGTCTTGGTGTAGCCTCTGGGCGGCGCCGGTTCTAATTCCCCGTAGCATTCCTCGCGCCGGTGGGTGCCCGGATCGCTCCCTCGTTGCGGGGCGGGCGCGGCGTGTATGCATACCCCTTTCGAGGTGGGCGCCGCGCGCGTGTCAAGCTTGAGTTTTTCTTTGTTGGTTTCAAATTATCATGTTGACGGTGATACTTGAGAAACGGCGGCGGCGGGGGGAGGAGAATCCTCCTAATCGCTGACGGTGCCCCCCTTCTCGCTGGTACCGGCCGGCGCTCACGACAGCGCGGTCGACCAGCATGCGTTTGTGGCGGCCGGTCCAGGCCTTCGCGCCAGCCCAGTCGAGCATTCTCGACGGAACGGGCTTGCCGGGGCGAAGATGGCAAGGCGTCCCTCCGAGCCAAGACATCAAACATTCCCCCGCGGGAGGGGAGACAAAGAAGAAAGAGTTAGGGGTGGCGAACGGTGTGGAATGGTGGGCGTGTAGGGGATGACTGCCGGATTCAATCTCCTGAGCTAAGGGCGGATCGCAGTTCGGCGCCCGTGATGTCTTTCTATCCCCTGGGCGGGTATCGATCGCGTTCGTGGGCCTGCTAGCTCCCGTTCCTGGGGCCTTTTCCGTAGCAGGTTTGCGCGATTCATAGGAGTCGGTATGAGCGGCGTCCGTTCCAAGTCATTCATTCATCCTTGCCCCCTGAGTTCGGGGATGCGTCTCGGTCGTTTCCTTTCCCCTCCCCTGAGCTTACCTCCAGGACGCCGTCTCAAGTCCACACCGTAGACGCGGGGCCCAGAGGCGGCGCCTCGCCGAAGACGGCCTCGTACCAGCGTACGAGGCGCCCGCAGCGGTCGTCCGACACCTGAGACGCCGAGCCGCAGTCCCTGGCCGCCAGCACGACGTCCCACATGCGGCGCTCGACGTCAAAGCCGCTGTCCTCGATCAGCGGGCCGCCTCCGCCGGGGCCCCACAGCCGGCCGGCCCTGCCCTCCTCGTCGAGGCGGAACATGGGGTCCGAGGCGGCGCCGACGGCCGCGACGTCGAGCTTGAAGAGGTTGTGGTGGATGAAGAAGGTCTTGGCGGCCCTGCGCTTCGACTCGTCCGGGTCCTCGCGCGCGTGGTCGCGGGCGGCGGCGGCCCGGAAGAGGCGGAAGTCCTCGGCCGGGTCGGCCTGGCGCATGGTGGCGGTCTCGAAAGTGCCGTTGATCCAGCGGCCGAGGACGGTGACAGGGGTGCGGACGTCCCAGAAGGGCCGGGCGAGGGCCTGGGCGGCGTGGAGGAAGGTCTCCTTGTCGCCCTCGCCGGGGGCGCCCTGGGAGAGCAGCGGGTAGAAGCAGTCCGGGCCGAACCAGTTGTAGTAGGCCGCGAGGAGGAGGTCGTCGGCGTGGGTGGCCTTGTCGTACAGCAAGATGCCGGACTCGGAGCTGCGCCGGGTGAGGGGCCGGGGCGGCGGGAGGGTGGCGTTTGCGATGCGGTAGTAGTTGGGGGACGCCGTCTCGAGCCAGAAGTCGGGCCAGGTGACGAGGCCGTGGGAGGTGAAGGGTTCAGACGCGAACAAGGGTTCCGGGTCGTGGACGGGCCAGGCGTCGGAGTCGAGGTACAGGGTCTGCTGGAAGGGGGAGAGGAGTATCGAGAGGACCTTGTACTGGAAGTGTTTGATGGTGGCCTTTGTCTTGCTGGCGAGGAGGAGGTCTTCCATGACGAGGCATTCCACGGCCATCCGCGGCAGGATGCCGTCGCAGAAGTCGGAGGCGGCGGCGCGCTCGGCGCGGGTGTCGAGGAAGAGGTGGACGGGCAGCCGGGAGCCGGAGCGGCGGAGCATGAGGATCGAGGTCAGGGCCGTGCCGAGGTAGCCGCTTCCGGCAGTCATGACAACGCCCCGGGTCCCCTTCCATACGGGGAGTTTCTTGGACAAAGTGGATTTGATGGCGGACACGAAGGAGGCGTGTTGCGCCGTGAGGGACTCCAGGGAGGCATCGTCGAGTGCGATGAGGTTCCGGCGCGGGGTGGAGTTTGTGATGGTCGTGGAGGAGGGGCTCGAGTCGAGCTCGTCCTCAGAGAGGGGGGGGCCGAGGGTCGCGCGAAGGGGGGAGGGGAGGGAGGGCTCGGCAGCGTGGAGGGCGGTCTGAAGGGACTTCCAGAAGTGCTGGACGGGTTTCGATTTGAGGTGAGCGGCTGCCGAGGGGTGGTGGTCGTTGTGGTAATAGGCCAGAGAGTTGGTGTTGTAGGGGAGGAGGGTCGAGGGGAAGTGGAAGGAGTGGATATGAGCTAGGAGGAGGAGGGAGAGGATTGGGGGAACGAGGTAAAGCCATAAGGGCCTACGGCGCTTTGCTGGGAAGAGGACGGCCGCCAGTGACATTGTGTCGTGATGTCTGGCTTGGTGTTTTGAGTTTTGATGTCCAAGGTCTGTGGTGATACTAGATGACGATGGCCGAGAAGTGAACGACGATTAAGCTTTTCCGCAAGTAAGCAGATGGTATTAAGATTAGATAGGATAATGAGGCAAGATAGGTCAGATTAAGGCCAGGAAACTGTCAGCACATTGCTGTTGACGTTGACGCAACGCCTCTCTCTCTCCGAGGCTGTGTTGGCGATGATTGGCAGGTTGGAGGGTGGGTTTGTGGGAGCACGACAGACTACCGCATCCTTTCGAGCACTCGAGCGACAAGAGGACAAACGCGCGCCGACCAGCGCGGCAGGATGCGAGGTTTGAATATATAGCAACTGCAGATGTTGGTGAGCCCGGAGGAGGGTGGGCGGGCGATGCCTGGAGCGCAATATGACCATTATGCACGGGAGATTTCGGTCCCCTGTCTGCTTAGATTTGCACATACACTCGTATATGAAAAGAGAATGGTCGATTGCTCGTGGCCCCACGGGTCTTCGTATCCACCGACGACACAAACCTATCCGTACACGAGGCGGATAAAGTTGAGGTGGCGTTTGCTACAGAAGAGTTCCCATCAGGGTCCAAAAAGGTGCTCTCGTCTACAGAGCTCTGGGCAAAGGCGTATTTGTCTGCAGGGGGAGGCAACGACTTTGGCAACTTTGCGAAATCGGTTAAAAACGAAAAAGCAAGCAAAGAAAAAGATGCAAGCAGGTCCAGGGATGCGCGACGGACTGCACATTTCCAGCAGAGTCCCCGGTCTCTGTCATCCTTCTGATCATTGGCTCTCGCCTGATAGTCGCCGTTTGCTTCTAGAATGTGTGTCCCATTCGGGTCCGGCAAGGTAAGAGGAGATGCGGCGCGAAAACGAAGAAGAAGAAAAGGACGACCAACGCACGTGCACAGCTCCTGCCCAGCCTATCGTTGCTGGCGTGAGCGGGTATACGAGTTTTGCGGTCGGCGTCAGAAAGCCTACTGGCACTACATAGTAGGTGCATCAGTGACCATCTTGAACTCTAGCCGTGCCACGAGGACTACTCGAGAAGCGTTAACCACGAGGCTCGTTATGTGGGTGTTGTCTTCAGCTCGTGTCGGGCGCAGAGAACTTCGTATTTGTGGGCTTTGGGCGATGAGTGAGCGACAGTGTCGGACATGCCTTCCAATCATGGTCCGTCCAGGGCCATGGATCTAGGGAAAAGGAAAGGCAGGTGGATGGGGTACCATATGTGTGAAGCACAGATGACATGGTGTGATTGCTTGCCCGGCATGGCTAGTCGACGTGCAGATTTGCAAAATTAGCGCCATGCGGGCTGACACGCGCAACGCTGTTGGACGATCCGCAATAGGAGGAGAGGCCGAAAAAAGAATGTCACGGTGTGTGTGATTACAGCTCGGGAGTTGGGCGAGGACCAGGCCACCGATGACATACGAGAGAGAGAGGGGAGAGATTTAGAAGCCCCGAAATTCTGCAAACCGGGATTTGTGTTCATGATATAAGTTTGATGGGAGGGCACAGACGGGAAGAGACAGAACAGACGGTCGAGTGTCTCGGGCTCAGATAGACGAGTACTTTTGCTCATGGTGTGGATTCCAAGTGAAAGCAGGTAGAGATTTAGCAGTGGAATAAGCAATGGATCAGTGGACGGGTAGAAGTGGACCCAGACAGGGATCACCACCAACGGCGGGGCATGGGTGAGGTGATGTGCGCCACTGGTGGTCGAGGCGGTCAATCTTGGCAGAATGTTTTTGCTCTCTAAACTTTTTGGACGGGACCCCAGCGGCGATCAATGCGTTTGCGACGGTCGAGGAAAGGAAGACTTGAGAAAAAGCAACCATTCCAATTTTCCCGCGACAGCCCAATTCGCATTTCGAAGCGACTGCGAAAAAGGGTATTGACGCAAAGACAAACACGACACCATGACCAAGACGGCGAGCGCAAAGCGCAAGCGCGCCGAGAGAGAAGCCCTCAAGGCCGCCGAATCCAACAAGCGCGCAAAGAACTCCCACAATGCCTTGGCCGACGGCAGCAATACCCCCGACTCGAACGATGCCGCCGAAGGTACCAATGCCGTGAGTGGCCCCAGGCTGCCCAAGATGCTCCAAGAGAAGAAGCTCTTTGTCGAGAACTCCACCGGCAAGGACCGCGTGCGCGAGGCCAAGCTCTACGACCTCCTCAGCAGCGAGAACGAATTGGACCGCCTCGAGGCCGCCGGCGCCATCATCTCCAGCCTCCTCGACGGTGAGGGCGTGCCCGAGGCCGTGCTTCAGCGCCATCTCGACTGGCGGTTGTTCCGCGGTCTCGCGAGCGGGAGAGCGGCGTCGAGGTTGGGATACAGCGTCGTCCTGACGGAGATTCTGAGCCAGCTCCTCGGCCCGCCAAGGAACCTCAGCCGCGACAAGTACCCTGGCCTGACCTTCGAAAAGGTTCTTGACATGCTTTTGGAGAGGACGCACGTCGGTGGTAACATGCCGGGCCAGGAGGAGCGGGACCTGTGGTTCGGCCAGCTGTTTGGGCTCGAGTGCTTCGTGCGCGCGAGGGTCTTGTTCACCCCCGAAGAGGGCCCCGAGAGGTGGAACGAGGTGCTGAGGCTACTGGTGAAGCTGGGGAACAAGAAGGTCTGGCTGCGACCACAGTGCGGGTGGGTCGTGGCCCAGGCGCTGGCGCAGCTGGACCGGAGCCGCGTTGAGATGGTCCTGCAGCAGCTCGTCGAGCTGGGCTGGGCCAAGACCCCCGAGGGCGTGGGCATCTGGCTTGTCGCATTCGAGCAGTGTCCCGATCTGAGCAGCGGCGATCAATCGAAACACCACCACCCTCTCTCGTCGAGGAACCTGGGCGAGCTTGCGGGTATTCTGAAGGAGAGTGGCCAGGACGACGTGGAGAAGCAGCAGAAGCAGCAGCAGCAGCAACACCAGCAAAGAAGAGGGGGCAGCTTCAGCAAGAACAAGCAGGCCAACTGGACCCCTCAGCTGCACTTTGTTTGGGATCTGATTGTGCGCCACTTCTTGCGCAGGGGACCTGAGCATGTTGACGAGTTCCGGGCGTTCTGGAAGCGGGTTGTTGATGGCAAGTTCTCCTAGTGCTCAAGTTTCCCAAGACAGGGCTAACTGATTTTGCAGACAATTTCTTCGCAAAGACCGCCACCGAGGGACAAAAGTTCAGGGGCTTCCTGGTTTTCCAGAAGATGCTCCAGAGCTACGCCGACATCGACGATCTCCTTGACGTTCTATTCAGCAGAAACCTGATGACCTGTCTTATCAACCAGGCCGCACAAGAGGACCGCTTCCTGCACCGCGCAGCCCTCAAGACCTGCAAGGTTATTGAGGAAACCTCTGCGGCGCACCCCGAAGCCACCGGTATCATCCTCGACAACCTGATCAACAACAACGGACTGTACCGGTTCGATGTCATGACCAAGAGCAAGACTGTCGACAAGATCCTTCAGCATGTGAAAGCCGAGACAGGCGAGGATGTCATCCAGGTCCTGAGCGGGCCTGTCATGAAGACCTCCACCACGTCGTACGTCGAAACCCCCAAGAGTTCGTTTGCGGCCTGAAACTGACAATGCCACAGAAAGGACATCAATGCGGTCAAGCTCGACCTCCGCGTCTACATCGAATACATCTTCCGCCTTACCACCTCGGCCCCTGAGCCCGCTCTGCAGGAGCTGACCTCACTCGCATACGCCAAGCCCATCTGGATCCCGGAGAACACAAACTCACTCGTGACGGAACTTAGCAGAAGCCGTCTCCAGTCTGCCTTTGCCAAGCTCTCCCGAAAGGCCGAGGACTCAAACTACCTCTGCACCGCGGTTCTGTCCATCAACCCAGAGTACATCCGCATGGAAGGCGAGATGAAGAAGGAAGTCAACTCGGCACGCAAGCGGTTGGAGAAGCTCATGAAGAAGAGCACCTCCGCCGGCGAGAACGCCTCGGATGAGGTCAAGATCGCACAGGGTCTGGCTCTCCTCCACGCCATCGCCATCTTCCAGCTTTACAACGAGGAACCGGACGCGTTCCAGCTTCTGAGCGATCTGAAGGAGTACCAGACTCGTCTGCAGACGGACGAGGAGGGTGCTGCGGAGTTCTTGGTTGAGATTCTGCTGTCTCTCGTCTCACAGCAATCGTCGCTCTTGCGAGAGATTTCGCAACGGGTGTTTGGCAACTTCACCACTCGGGTTTCTCCCAAGGCGTTGGAACTGTTACTGGACGTTCTCTCGGCTGATGAGAGCGCCAAGGGTCAGCAGTCGCTGTTCGACGATGTCAACGCAGACGATATGGACGTCGAGGACATGGAGGAAGACGACGAGGACGAGTCCGACGACGAGCTTGACTCCGATGTCGAGGTGGACTCGGACGTAGAGTTTGTCGCTCTCAACGCCGGCGATGGCGAGGAGGAGGATGGAGAAGACGAGGACGAAGACGAAGAATCCGGGTCTGACGACGAAGCCGACGCTGAAGAGGGCAAGAACCTCGAGGCACTCGACGACGCACTCAGCAAGATCCTCAACAGCCACCGGCTTGATAAGGACCAGGAGGCCGAGACCTCGGACGACGACTCGGACATGAGCGATTCCGACATGCTGGAGCTCGACAGCAAGCTGGCCGAGGTGTTCAAGCAGCGCGCCAAGGCGGCGCCGAGCAAGAAGAAGGAGCGCAAGGCCGCCAAGGAGTCCGTCGTCAACTTCAAGCGGCGCGTGCTGGACCTGCTCGAGGTTTACGTGAGGAACGAGGCGGCGAACCCGACGGCGCTCGCCGTCCTGCAGCCGCTGCTGCAGCTCGTCCGCACGTCGACCATCAAGACACTGTCCGACCGGGCGTTTGAGCTGATCAAGGACTACCAGAAGAAGCTGCGCAAGGCAAGGTCCGGGGTCGCCGGCGGCAAGAAGGAGGAGAAGAAGGTCGACAAGCAGGAGGCGCTCGAGGTCCTGAGGGGCGTGTACGAGGAGCTCAAGGCCGGCGAGACCAAGGCGCACGCCAAGGCGGCGGTGCCGGCGTGTTTGATCGCGGCCTCGAGCGTGTTCTACGCCGGAAAGGGCGACCGCGCTGCTGTTGATGCCGTGATTGGGGACGCTGAGGAGGGCTCGGCGGTGCAGGAGGAGATGAAGAAGGCTTGGGACGAGTGGTGCAGGAACCACGAGGCCCTGAAGAAGGCCGCCGCCGGTGGTGCTGGAAAGAACAAGTAAATCAAAGAAAGGGGAAGAACACCTGGTAGACTGAGGTGTGATACAGAAAGATTCATTGTCGGCGTACCGGGCATGGGATAGAGAACAAAAATCTGATTCGAGTCTTGCTAAAAGTGTTTGGCCATCGACAGGCCAGAGGAAGGTTCTGGGCTTGAGTTGTCGTCCGTATTTAATATCACCAGCTCCTATTTCCACCGTTTACGGGGTTTTCGCATTCAGTCGACTGTTCTTCCAGGGCATGATGTAGGGTTCAAATGAAGGGGAAGACGACGCCTCGTCTACGCGGGTTTTGGCTGAGCGAGGTTCTATAGATAGGTGCAGGTGGTGATGATGATGGGGGAGGTGGTGGTAATGGTGAGCGAACAGCAACCAACCTAGGCTGGAGCCGCCATAGTAAGAAAGCAGCTTGAGCAGTTAATATATGTTCGTCCGAGTGGACCTCACAAGAGTCATCAGGAGTAACACAACCACAGCCTTCTACACGATCAAAAGGCGGGTGGAGAGGTGAGGTCAGTGAGGCCGGTTCTTCTGAGAATATCTCGTTTTGGTGGGTGTCAGATACGTCAACCCGCTCTTCTGGTAGAGGCTCGTCCCTGTCCCAGTTGCACAAAGTCAGGAGTGCGTGTGAAGAAGGACTTCCAATACCCGCAGAAGCAAGTGATGGCTCTGAGTCATCATGGAGCAGAGACAGGCGGTCGGGGTTGCAGACAGCGAGCTGGCCTTTCCCAGAGTCAAGAAGACGAGTTGCTGCAGCCACGGAAAACTCGAAATGCCCATAGACCACACCGAAGGCCGGGTTCTCGGGATCAGAAAGGCGTTTTTGCTTAGAGTCGAGGGTTTCTTTCTTTGTCTTCTTCTGTATGGGCGTCTTGTGGTCAAGGTACACCTTCCAAGCTGGTTCGTCGTCCAAGTATGGTACACCAGGAGGGGGAAACGGTTTCTGGTGGAACTCTAGAGCCCATTTGAGGAACCAGCTGTTGTCCAAGACGTCACAAAAGCGTAAACATAGGCGGTGGAGTCGGCGGCAACAGCGTGAAGGTGTGAGTAGCTTGGTCATGGCTGCTGCCTTTGGGATTGTTTGTGTAAGTTGTGATTTGTGTAAGTGTGCCGCTGGTATGAGGTTCTTTGAGTGTCTAATGTGCAAGCGTGCGGGCCGCCATGTAGCAGGGTGTGTGGTGGATTGTTACAGCCCAGCAACCAAAACCCATCTGTATTTATCCCTGTAGCAAACGTAGAGAAGGTTTCTAGATGCTTGGGTCGTTCTGGCTGTTCAGCAGGCACGTGGGAGTTTTCTAAGTGTGAGCCAGGGGCTTGACCTGGCACAAAAGGATTGTTCAGTGAGTCAGGATGTTGCCTAAGAGTCGATTGACAGGATACGGGTGAGTGAGTCCGAACTCGAGATCTGGGGTATAGCATCAGGTTTTAGTTAATAATTGTTAGCATTTTTTGCATGCTCTCTAGCGAGACGTTTGAGAGATACCTTTCAGAGGCATACATAGTCAATGTTTCTTTAGCTATTAGCCAATTAACTAACGTTCGACTTCCTTTTAAATACGTCCATTAGTCAGATTTTCATGGTAGAGTAAAGTCAGACAGTCCTCGGCGGTAATATCTGAATTGGGTATGTGACCTTGGTAAAATCGGCAATTCCCCGGAGTGGACCAACGACGAATGTCGGCTCCGGAGTCCGCTGTGGGGCCGTGACGCTCCGAGCCATAGTGAGAAACAACCAAAAACTGCACACCGCCGAACGGATCAACTGATAAGGAAGTCAGATCCCCTCCTCGCAAAAGATATTGAGCATGACGATTGTTGGATCCTATTATCAGCAGAATTTATGGGGGTTGGTCGATGCCACGTTCCCAAAAGACTCGGAGCACGCGTCTTTCGCTGGGCATAGTAAAAAGGATACCAAGCCTCGCAACTCTCAAACAATTCCACTCATTAAGATAGCACTCAGGTTGTCACTTTTTGCAATATTTCTCTTAAGTTCTGTTCTCAAAGTTGCGTTCGATAACTCTGGTATCAGGTCGGCCATATTAGTCAGTTCATAACGGGGAACCTCAAACTGGTCTTCCACGTCAGGCAATTCCGAAAGGGGGTCGTACAGCTCAGAAAAAGCAGGCTGGTGCTTGAATCCGCGCTCGAGGGGTGTTGGTGGGACAAAAGGATACCGCCGGATTCATGCAATCGAGCGTGATGAGCTCTAGCGGGGCCTTCACCCGTTATATTCCTCCAATCTTGGCTCTCAAGGTCTCTGTAATTCCCTCCGTTGGATCTGCACTCTTCGTGAAGTGTCGTCCTGGGACGCAAGAAGGCTGGCGCGGGATGGAGTTGTTGGGCGACTGAGGTGGAGAGGATCAGGAGAATCAAGAGTGAGGTCCTCAGTATTTTAATGTTTATTGCAACACGGGAACAAGCTTTGTGGTAGTAGAGCTTGGAACTATACACAGCGGATTGCCTTGGGCTTCCTTGGCCAGACGCGGCAGCGTTGGGAGGGAAGGGAACGGGAAGGCGAACGAAGTAAGTCATGTCTACGCATTGTACGCATCCGTAAAATAGAATAAAAGGTGGTACAGGGGAACAAAAAGATGTTGTTTTCGGACAGAGCCAAAGGTAATGTGGTAAGGCCATACGATGCATGCTTTGAAGATGAACAAGTGTAGTACGAGATGCTAGGGCTTGGAATCTTAAGGACTGAAAGGGGCACCTTTTAGCTTAGTTCTCGGTCCCGCCAATGATTCTTACTTACTCCATTTGAATTAGACTCGGAAATATCTCCGATGAATTGAATTGGATGATGCTTCAATTCCGAGGCTCCCTTCCCTTTTCAAAAGGCATACTTGTTTACGTGTCCGTTTCGTTATTGACAATCGGCCCTTGTTCCAATTATTCAAGATGTCAAAGCAAAAGCTCAATGACAGAATCATGATTGTTTCCTTTCAGATATTGATTATGGCGACGAATATCAGCTCAGAACATCTTACTGCAGTTCCGGAAGCATCGATTTGATAAAGGCCTTTAAGTCTGCCACGTCTGCATACAGTTCCAGACGGTAGACTCCCACCGCATCTCAAGCCTCATTTCCGCATACTGCAACCCAGAAAACACGTAAACAGCAACAGAGTGTCAGGACATAAGCGACGAAAAGTCCCAATATGTGCATGGAACTGTGGCGGAGGTATATTTGCCCCAAACCACCCCATTACACACCGACGAGCGATCTTAAACATGGATCAGATAACCACCCTCAACCTAGAAACGACGTTCTCAATCACCATTTGATCGAGGAATCTCAAAATGTTTTCAGGGAGAATCAAGAGAGCCCACAAGACAACGTAGCCGAGGGCTTTCAGATCCACTGGGTCTACAACTTGATACGATGCGCTCACCTATACTCCCATGACTGCGCAAGGTCGCCATGCGTAGGGATGAGGATACAGTATTTTAAAGGCGCATGCTCGTACTGCACTGGGAGCATCGACGTGCATGTTGGCGAACACGACGAGATCATTCGCGAAATCAAGGTACCTCTGCAAGTCCCATCCAACGAGGTAGACATGGAACAGCAGGTGCTACACCGTTTTGAACAGTACAGGGAAAAGTACCTGCTTCAGTTGCTCCAGTTGTTTCACGTCGTACTCTTGAAGCCCCTATCAATACAGTCTGAGACTTCCACCTGGGAAACGTTTATCGAGGTCGCCTGGCCTGAAACCTTTTGCAAGCTGGAGTACGCGCACATCGGCCACGGAACCTTGGCCTGCGAATGTGAGGCGACGAAGGAGGAGTGGCGCGCCAACACTGCGTACTCTAAACGGAAGAACGAGGCATTAGCTATCCTCAACAGTCTCGAATCAAGGAGCGGGCCTCAAGGCGCGTATGCCTACTACTGGTGGACGCAGGGCTTTGCCGAGAACGATGACTGGAAACCAACTGAAAGAGCCGACAACCTGTACTCCAAATACCACCCGGTGAACGATTTCTTGCCGTTCCTGATGACGTTTGTAAACTTCCGACGAGAGGATTACGACAAAAGGTATCACAATCTCCGCAACATGGCTAGAACGTGTCTGGCACAGCTGAAGCAGAGAGGCGAAGAAGTTTCTCAGGAGCACCCGAAAGCGGGTTACTGGCAGCAATGCGGGATTCGCTGGATCGGGTTCGATGACTGGGAAAATTCGCTGAACCGGCGCATGGAGTTCCTGGAATGGGTTTACCAATTTCTCGCGCTGGACGCTGGACTCCACGAGAGCGTGATGATGTACCTCGGCGCCGGCCTGCTCGCTATGCTCAACCCCTGGCCCAACCCGCAGGTCCACGATCACCCCTCGCATCCCTCTCTATATGCCTTGGACACGCAATTGGCGGCGTTCGATGTCCTTCAGGAGTGTATCTGGTGGGTCGAGTACCTGTGGCCTCTCGACGGCAACCTCAAGGTCCAGGACAGTTACAGGGAGTCGATAAACGCGAGCAGCACCGCCAACGAGATCATCCAGCGCAACAGGGAGATTGAGCTTCTCGACATGAAATCGCGGAACCGCACCGCCGAGCACAAGACTCGAATGTTTGCGACGCCGCCGGAGGTGGCCATTGCGCAAGGCGACAGCATGTGTCCCTTGTGCCAGGAGGATTGGGATCACTTTCCGTTCCACGAGCCGGTCAAGCTCCCGTGCTGCAACAAGTTCGTCGGGCGCAGGTGTATGAAGCAGTGGTTGGCCTCTAAGCCGATCCGACCGGCAGGCAACAACTACCTGACACGGGAGAAGTGGGTGGAGGAGTTCACGTGCGCGATGTGCCGCAAGGGCGTTGGAAGCCATTTCTCACCCAACTTCTTCGGGCAGATGCTGGACACGCCTCCGAAGGATATCCGTGACTTCAGTTTCTATGACGATTTTGAAGGCTTTCCAAAGCCGGTGCACTACTGGCAACAGCGGTAAAGCTTTGTATTGATAGTCCGAGCTCTGGCCGAGGGAAGTGGAAAAGGGGAATATATACAAAATGCGCTCTCGAAGTAAGCCTTGGAGCTAGAGAGGCTTGACGGCTGGTGGGTTATCTTGAGTGAAAGTTCAGAGACGAAAATATTGTTAATTTCATTGCAGTGATCGAAACATAAGGTGATTTGGGAAATAGTGAGAGCTTGATTCAATCGAGCCTCACTGCGGCAGTCGCTGTGTTCGGAGTACCAGCTGGATGCCCAAGGAAAGCCGAGTACGACCATAGTAGGGACCAAAGAAGAGGGACCCGAGGCAAAGTATCCGACCTGGAAGTGGAAGAAAGAGGCTGGCCGGCCCAACCGGGAAACAGCACCCACATCGGGAGTTTTCATTTCAGTCCTTTTCCATTTGTTTTCACTTCCCATTTCCATCTACTTTTCTGTTCTTTCCACCCATCATAGCCTGTGACATCATCATAAGTCAACCAGCCCGACAAAAGCCCGTTCACCAAAGTCGCCTCGGAAAAAAGATGATCTCCTTTGTTGTTTTGTATATTCTGTTTTACTGTGCGGTTCTTACTATAATCACGTATATGCATTGGAAGCATGGCGTCGCTGCTCTCCCCATGGATCATAGTGTGCAGGTTCGCTGACTTCTTCACCAGTCTCCCCAGCAATTCCATTCCGATTATTACACAGCTGATCAAACCTGCCCGGTGAACTATTGGGAGGCAATCCGATACTTTGCGCCTACCTGCACATATACCCGTTAAGGTAGGACGCAGGGTTCACCGAGGCCCTGGGTTCGACACCCGCACCCACCGAGACTCACCTGGGATCGTCGACAAGGTGGATGGACGGGCGCACAAAGAAGGTCGACTCACCGAGCCAGGTTTACCTCAGCAGCGCCCACCTTACATAAGAAGACATCAAACCCACATAATTAAGGGAGCGAGATCTGGATGAGTCTAGGCCCAACATGGTCTGGTGCGATTCATGACGCTGCGAGAATCCCTGCCCGGAACCTCCTCCTTTCAGTCGGGCCCTTTATTTTTTTGCAGCGCAGGCCCATGGCCCATGGCCCCTGACATCCTACAGTACCTACGACCCTTTGGCCATGGCGGTACCGCCTCCTACGCATGTGTTCCCACCCCCAGCCAAAGTCTGAGGCGAAAAGCTCCCTTGTCCACGGGAAATTCCACCTCATCCAGAATCTCCCCAAAGAGACCACATTTCCTAATCGCAATTTTGTGGGAGAAATTTTCGTTTCTTGTTCACCAGAGACAAGACGGAATCCTACTGGACGGGACTCTGTCAATTTGACAAGTCTATTCGCTCGAATTTCTTGGGGATAGGAGAAAAGGGAAAGAAAGGTATGTGGCCAACGCGCTGTGCTGTTGTTGCTTTGCTGGCAGCTCCATGCCACATGTTCCCCACGTAGCTGCAAAGAAAGCTCGAAGCTAACACCTGGCATCCCCAGATTCGAATTTCGATTCCGACACTCCTTTACCCTTCGGCCATCTCGCGCCGCTCTCCTCTTCTACACTAGGGATCATCTGGACGCTGCACCGCAAAGATGAAGTTCAGCAGCATTCTGTCCGTCGGCCTGTTGGTCATGTCGCCCCTGGCTGCGGCCTGGAGCAAGGAAGGTGAGCGCGCCGCCAGCCGTGCAACTCCTCGGCGCAACTCCAGCTAACCAGACGATGGGCAGATCGCGAGATTTTCCGCATTCGCGACGAGATCAGGGCCCACGAGTCAAACCCTGACTTGACCTTCTACGATCTTTTGGGTGTGAAGAACAGCGCCACCATTGACGAGATCACCAAGGCCTACCGCAAGATCTCTCGCACCCTCCACCCTGACAAGGTCCGCCAGCAGCTCATCGCCGAGCGCACCAAGGCCAAGAAGAAGGCCAAGAAGGAGCCCGGCGTCACCGTGCAGAAGCCCCCTACTCAGAAGGAGATCAAGGTTGCCGTCAAGATCGCCTCGGAGCGTCAGGCTCGTCTGGGTCTCGTGCGCAACATCCTCAGCGGCCCTGATCGCGACCGTTACGACCACTTCTTGAAGAATGGGTTCCCGGCTTGGAAGGGCACCAATTACTATTACAATCGGTACCGTCCCGGCCTGGGCACCGTGCTCTTCGGCGTCTTCCTCGTGGGTGCTGGTGCTTTCCACTACATTGCTCTGTACATGTCTTGGAAGCGCCAGAAGGACTTTGTCGAGCGCTACATCAAGTTCGCACGCAATGCCGCGTGGGGTGACAACCTCAATATCCCCGGCATCGATGCGGCCCCGGCGCCTGCCCCCGCCCCGCCGGCCGACGACGAGGAGGGTCCCCAGCAGCCCATGAACCGCAAGCAGCGCCGTATGCAGGAGCAGGCCGCCCGCAGAGAGGCCGCCAAGGAGCGCGGAGGCCGATCCCGTAAGATTGCCAGCGCCGGCAGCGGCACCGCCACCCCTCGCGAGACTCCCGTTGCCCAGACTGGCCCTACCGGCTCGAAGAAGCGCGTTGTCGCTGAGAATGGCAAGATCCTCGTGGTCGATTCCGTCGGCGACGTCTACCTTGAGGAGCAGGATGAAGAGGGCAACACCGAGCAGTACCTCCTTGATGTAAGTGCAGAAGAGCAAACCAAGCTTGACGACCACTCACTACACGAAACTCGTTGGTCGATACTAACTTTAAGTAGCCCAATGAGCTACCTCAACCTACCATCCACGATACCGCGCTCGTCCGCCTTCCCATCTGGGCCTACAACCGCACTGTCGGCCGCGTTCTCGGCCAGAACAACGTTGATCTGGAGATCGATACTGAGGACTTGGACTCTGATGATGGCGAAATCCAACATACTCCCAGCTCCGACTCCGCCGCCGACGACTTCGAGCTCCTCGAAAAATCAACCGATTCCCTGGGCAAGGCCAAGGTTACTGGTGCGCACACTGGCGGCAGGTCCAACAAGCGCAAGAACAAGAAGCGTTGAGGTGAAGATGGACTGAGGGATGTCACAGAGCTGTCCCGCCCCTTTTCGGCTTCTCCCCCATTGCTGTGACGGGCGGTGTGACGTTGATTGATCTCGAGGCTCAGACAAGCAACCCAGGGTTGCATGACATCCCCATGAAACTGCTGTCGCTCTCGCGATACACGTAGATTAAACTTCAATGCAAATTCGAGTACAATACAATTCTCAAAATCGTGATGGGATCAGTGCGCTGCATGTGCGTTAAGGTTTGCCTAAAGAAACGTGGAAGATTCACTCTGATCTCCGATTGCATCCGTCGCGTCTTTCATCTGCGAGACGAAGACACGTCCAAATGCGGTTTCCAGTTCCCGTCAAACATGTTGCGACCCTGCGCAAGTGTGGCAGATCGCTCCTTCTGCATCTCGCAACTCTGTTCCGTCCATTCCATGACTGCATGCCCGTTTCTGCATTGGGGTTTTTTGATATGGTTTGCACAGCGCCTTCATTCGTCCCCCCAAAAGCAACGTCAACAACAGTGACATATCTGACGGCCACCCTCGACGACACACGCCACCGTCACCACAGATCATTTTACACTTCAACGTTTACACAATGTCTGAACAAGAGCTGCCTCCTTTACAAAGAAGGTATGCTTCCCACCCCCAACTGCTGCCCTGAAACAAAGGAAAGCCAACATAAAAAACGGGCCATCCGTTCCTGGGCCTATACCCAAAAGAATCAGAACCTCCGGCCCACCGCTCTCCATCCGTCTGCCGCTAAGATGGGTGCTCGAGCGCGCCGCACAGCAACGCACCGCTCGAGCCGCATGGTCGCCGGGTACTGAACCTGTTCCAGAGTCGCGTCCCCGTCTACCTGACGATTGGCTCGCCTCAACTCTGAACCATGTCTTAGCGTCTGTTCGCCGAGGACGCCATTCGGACCGCTAGGCGGAAACACTATCTCAATCGCTAAATCTACCAACATCTTCTTGCGATCCTCATTGGCGAGGCACGTATTTGCTAGATCGGCTGCCTCCTATCCGTCCGAGTGGTCTCATGGCTTTCCCCTTTGAACTGCGCAGACACGACAAACTCTGCCCAGTGTGTAGGCACTGTTAGGCTCATCCCCCTACTCTTACACATAGTTACGTGTGCGCACAAACTCTCCCTTTCCCTTCCTCGCCATAAGCTGCCAGCAAACACCCAGAGGGCGGCAGAAGTTGTAATTCAAACCGTACTGAACGAGCGTTCAGTGACGACGGTTCCGCCCGCCACTATTGCCTAGACCCATACGGTCAGTTCGCCCGGCTCTGCACACCCGGGACACTAGGCTATTCTTACCGCTGGCTCGCCCATCGAGTTATCAGGCTTACCCCTAAACCAAGCGCCACTCCGTTCGAGAGGTCATGATATGTATACCCAACAACCCCCTCCCTCCCTTGGACCCTGACGGGTCCTTCTTCCCCCGTTGTACGCGTTCTTCCCCGGTCTTGTCCCGCCAACTCGGATCACGTTCTGCACATCCCATTCTGTCGACCCACCTACGACGAATCAATGCCACCCTTGTCATGATGATTGGGTGAACACAAAGATAGAGAACACCAACCTCTGAGGGACTGCTTGCGGATGCCGTTGCCATCGTCCATATATAATGGAGGATCGCAGCGGGCAAGTGCTGGCCGTGGCGGTCCTCTTCTTCGTCTTGTGTTGGATCGCTGTCGGCCTGCGCATTTACTGTCGCGGATGGATCACACGCTCTCTTGGGGTCGATGACAAGCTGATGATTGGCCTCATGGTATACAGCGAGCTCGCATGGAAAGTGAGGGACACCCTTGGCTAACACCACTGACAGCTCATCTTCACTGTGTATCTTATCACCCAGATTCAAGGCGTTCGCTACGGCACCGGTCGACACAAAATCGATCTCAGCCCGGAACATAATCGCGACGCTCTCATGGTATGGCCTGGATGCTTTCTCTACACTGATACCCAGCCAAATGTTACACTCACTGACGGTCTTGTAGTATTGGTACATTTGCGAGCTACTCTACATCATCTCAACATGTCTTCTCAAGATATCGGTTGGATACTTCCTACTTCGTGTCTCCATCCGCCGCACCCACATATGGATTCTCCGCATTCTTATACTTGGCACCGTTCTCTTTGGCACGACGTATTTCTTCATGGTCATGTTCCAATGCAGACCGATACAGACCTTTTGGGAACAATCGCCTCGCGTGGAGGGTAAATGCTTCAGCAAACGCGTCGTTCTCATCATGACATACACAGCCTCCATTATCAACTGCCTCGCAGACTGGTCCTTTGGGATCCTCCCGCTGTTCATCGTCTGGTCGCTCTCACTACCCAAACGTACCCGGCTCCTTGCCTTCGGCATTCTGTCCTTTGCGGCCATCGGCTCTGCGGCGACGGTCGTCCGGTCAGTCTACATACCGACCCTCCTCGACGGCGACGACTTCCTATGGGCCACTACCGATGTTGCTCTGTGGAGCACCGTCGAGCCCGGCATCGGTATTACTGCTGCGTCCATCGCCACGCTCCGCCCTCTGTGGCAGCTAATATGGTACCGCGCGGGGCTGAGGTCCCAAGCGCCGCGCGCCGTAGCCTGGCGAGAACGCTTCCAGGGAAAACCAAGTTACGTTCGTAGCGATGGATCGGATCCGCGTCAGCCGCCACGAAACCGTCTGCCGGGTGACGCTGCCCTTGAAGATATCGAGGAAGAAGGCCCGGCTGGATACCAGGTGGAGGCGCCGCGCATCCATCGTTCCGAGGATGGCTTCAGCTCATCAACGCCCTCGCGCCGAAGCGGCCTGAGCAAGACTTTCGACACGTCTCCTGGGAGGAACAGACTAGGCGACGATGGAGAATCCCTGGTTACACCCCGTGAGGATGGCGGCGGCACTCAATGGCTGTGCCCCTCACCAGGCGAAGTACGTTGATTTTCCCTTGCCCATGAACACACGAGTCGCAAAAGACTAGGGGTGCTGACCATATCAAAGGGAGAAGGAGACCACGGAATAGAGCTCGAGGACGGTGTTCATCTCACACCGTTGGCGAGAGCCGCCGCCGCCCCGACCGTCGACTGGTGCTCTCCGCGGATGTCGGCCCTCTCCATGGGCTTCGGCTCATTGAACCGCGACTCGACACACTCCGCCGCTACGACATGGGGCTTTGGCAACTTCGACGGCACGGGCAGAAAAAGCAATGCCGGCTCTGGCGGCAGCAACATCAACAGAGCGAGCAGGCTCAGCAACGTCGCCAATGCCAACAACATCAGGGCAAGCAGACTCAGCAACGTCAGCAACGTCAGCAGCCCCAACTATGCGAGGGACGGCCTTCTCGACTCACATAGAGTCAGCAGGATGACGACAGATACATACACGAACACGAGCCCGCGCAACAGCAGGTTCGATCGGTACAGCCGGACGACGCGGACGAGCAGCCACTATACTCGCGGGTCGCAGTTCCTGGTTCCGCCTTCGCCCGGGGACTTCGCGATGCCGAGCCCGCCTCCGAGCACGTGGCAGGTCAACGTTCCTACGGGCATGAACTCGGCACAGTGGCTTTCGTCCAGGATGGCGGAGCATCCTGGGTACCCGGGCCCCAGACGGTAGCACGCAACCTGCCTCAAGAGGCAGTGCAGCATCGCAGCAAGGACACAACTGCCAGCTCTGAGCTGCCATCCATCCGTTTCCAGGCAAGCAAGTTCTCGTCCGAGATTGGGACCAAACGAGCCCAGTCGACACCATCTACGACGGACGGGGAGGGCCTTTTCTTCTTCTACTTTATACATCAAATACATTCTTCTCAATGAACAGCGACGATATAAAGGAATATACCAGGCATAACAAACGGGGTGCCACTTCATGAACATGTAATATTGGCGACGGTATCGGGGTTTGGGGTGTACACCACGAGTGAAAGGAAATGGTGATGTCAAGGAGTTTTTCCGGTTGCCAGCTTCAACGAAGAGGGGAGGGGGGGAGGACTTTGTATTTCAGACAAGTAAAAGCAAGGCAACAGGAAAAAGAGGGCGGTGTCATTGGCATGTGTATGATAGAATGTTTGCATACCACGGGTATCGCAATAACACGACACGACACTTTTTCAAGTTCATCGAGTTGACCGTGGTGATGATGTCAGCGATGAGAGTTTGTTTGGAAAGGGAAGGGCAGAGCCTGCATTGGCAGAGACACACCCCTGCGAAGGGGGCTGTCCGAGCAAAGATAGTCTGTTCTTTTCCCGACGAGCCACGGACCTCCCGGGCTCATTCGCTCAACTGCATCATGACGAACTTTCCACACCCATGAGTCCCCTCGAACGCGCAAATATACTCCAATGGAAGACGCAAGCCATCTACCCAAGTATAACAGACACCTTCGAAAGTGGAGAGGAGGTGGGTGGGATTGATCGAGAAAGTATCAACAGCCGTGCTGCCATCAGACGCCTCATCATACGCAGATCTCTCAATGTTTTGGTTCCGTAGTACTGTTCATTCCTCATGCGTGCCTAATGGTATCTGGCCAACTCCTTATTCATAACCTTCTTGACAAAAGAAACTCTCTCCAAAAGAAGGCAGTCCATTATTGCCTTGCTTTCCACCCGGTGCGTGCCCGCCATGCAGTCTAACTCGCGAGAGAAAGAGATATCTGCTGCTATGCTGGAAAAAAAAAAAAAGTGATGCACAAAGTGTCCTTTATAAAATCTCCATGGCCTCCATATTGCCGGCTTGGCCGCCAAAATGCTGGAAAGCGCCGTACTGGTTCTCCATCTGCATTTGCATCTGAATCGCCTGCTCCCTGGCCCAGTCGTCGCCGAAGCCCTTGTAGACAGGGTCGGTGGCCGGCTTGTAACCGCCGATGACAGAGCCGTAGTGGGAGTAGTTGCCGCTGGAGCGGGCCTCGACCTGCTCCCGCTCGTACTCGCGGCGCATCATCTCCTCGTAACCAGACATCATGTAGGGCTCGACTTGGTGGGAGATGGAGTTGGCCAACCAGCGGCTGTCATCGGATTGGACCGGGGTGCCATCGAGGCTCATGACAGCGTTCTGCTGCTGCTGCTGCTGCTGCTGCTGCTGCTGCTGCTCCTTCTCTGCTTCCATACGCTCATACCGCAGCTTCGCTAGCTGCTCCTCTTGCTCCAGCGTTGTGCTCGTCCAAGCAAGCGAGGGGTTTTCTGTGCTTGAAGTAGGCGGCGCGGCACGCCAGATTTCGATCAGACGTAACTGATGGGCTTCTTCAGAGATTCGGAAGAGCTGGATCTGGGAGGGGGAGAGAATAGAAGGGTCAACGCCGTGCTGGCTGAGGACGGTCTCGGGGGTCACCTGCTCGGTCTGGGGGGGTTCGGACGAGGGGCGCTGAACCGGGACATCCTGACATTGTGGCTGACGAGCAATGTGCGCCGAGTGGGTGTAGTGCTGGGTGATGGAATAGATGATGGGAGCCGGAGTTGGCGCGGCATTAGCGGGGGCGGGGTCGGGGTCTGCTTAAGCTCCTCTTCAGCCTTAAGCGGCTGCACTTGGCTCTGGTTCTCGGGATTGAAGGTTAGGTTTCGAGAGAAGAGGGCTGCAAGGTCATCTTGGGCCTGCATTGTTGGAGTGTAGGAAACCATGTTCCTAAAAAACATGTTAGTCGTCGTTTATGGCTTCTCACTTGACATTTCGAGATGCGGCGGACGGGCCATCGCCGATAAAAGCCCGGCGGGGCTCCGAGACGGGACAAGTGATGGCCGGTTGGTGCGTGCGCGAGTTGATGGATAGGAGGGGACTTGCCTGAGTGATAGCTGGGGAGCTGGGGTGCTGGGGGGGGGGGCGAAAAGCCAAAAGGTAGAAACACAAGAGGACGTTTCGATGTAGACCTGTTTGCTATAGAAGTGAATCTGCTCGCGGTGCAGAAAAGACAGTGGCGGGCTGTCTTTGGGATCTTGTTTGTTTTGTGCTTCTTGAAAATCGGGTTCGGGGGCTCGGACAGCGGTAGAAAACAGAAGTGTTTCTTATATTGGCTACTCTATGTACTCTCGAGAGTTTGCTGTGTGAAAGCAGAAAATAAGAGAACAGAGGCCCGAGGAGGAAACGAAGATAGGAAATATCGAAGGTAGTCAGTCAGGGGCTAAGAACAGTCGGGGAGCGGTGGCTCGGGTTCGACGCGATGGCTCCTTGGGCAGGAAGACAGCAGCAGTGATGGCAGGGTTGGAGTTGGGTGTGGATGTGATGCGGGTGCGGATGCGGCAAGGTCAGCGGATGCAGTGGAATCGATGGGTTAGTGGTGGGGTGAGGTGTGTCGTCTTTCTGCTTGTTTGCGGCAACGTCGACGAGGGAAATCCTTTTGGAATCTGGCAAACCGTCGGGGGAATCAGTGTAGAATTCCAAGAGAGTCCGGTCGGGATCGAATTTTGGAAAAATCGAAGAGCGGAAGTGCGTTGAGTGCGAATCTAGAATTTATATGACGAAAGGAGTCACAGTCATTTCTGGCGGGTAGGGAAGGAGGGGGGAAGGGCGGCAGGAGGGGAGGGGAGGACCTGGCAGGGGGAAATTAGGAAGGAGGGGCAACTAGCGGGCAAGGCCATGACGCAGACAGGGCAATGTGACGCAGATTCACTGGCTGTAGGCAGTCGCCATGCTGCCGCTACCGGTGGGAATGTGCACTGAACCTTTCAACGCTGAGCACCGACACTGAGCATGAGGTGCCTAACAGCAGCAATTTCTGTCTCTCCCAGCTCCCCCGTCCCATCCCATCCCAGCCCAGCCGACTGTCCGTCCGTCTGCATCCACACATCACCACATCATCACCACCAACATGGCACCAACCAACGCTAGCCGGCCCAGTCCAACCCCCCTTCCCATGCTTGGTTTCTCTCGTCGGGCCGGAATCTCTGCCTGAACCTGTAATAGACCCTTGCCTTCGCAGCTGTTACTCCGAGAATATAGCTCATTGTTCACCATTTTGGTACCAAAAGATGGAGTCCGGCCGACGCATAACGGATCGTCAGACAAGTCGTGAATTCGGTACCTGGCCTGGCACCGAAATGCAATGGTGGGCAGGCATGCAACCATCACACATCGGTCCGCTGACAGAAGACAGAGGGCAAAGGGCAGGGTCCAGCAGCAAAGCGGCCACTTGAAACATATTCCTCTCCCAGTTTTGCGCCTGCGCCCAATAGGTTGGTGACCCGGTCAGTCCACACAGCTTCTGGAAGACTACGGAGGTATCAAAACACGTTTCCCGTGACACACTCGAGCCTACCCGTCGTCATCTGCCCACTTTCCACTCTCCGATACTCTACCTCGTCCGGAGGGAAGCGATGATGATGTTCTCTCTGACGTGTTGCAATACTTTGGGACATGTGATACTTACTTCGAGAACATCCAAACTGGAGGCTAAGGAGCTCTCAACAGTTTGCTTAGCTTTCGATTCCTTCCAAGACCGCCTCTCGGGGTGCTAGTCGGGCGGCTCTACACCGCTCCTCCTCAAACCCCGTCCCAACGCATGTTTCGCCGTACCCATCCGGGCCTGGACTCTTGAGTCTCCGTAAGGTGCTACCTAGGTATGTTAGGGATGTGACGAGATGTCCAATAAAGCGTCCTTCGCAACATCCAAAGGCCATGCGTGCTTTGGAATAATATAGTTGGAGAGCAACCGCCCGACGGAAGATTCCTTTGGGACTCCCTGATTAACTGTTGGACAAATCTCGGAGCATCGTCAAACCACAGAGTGACCGCCAACTGTCTCCCCTCACCTTCAAAATCCTCCAACACCTGGCAGCTGCAGCCCACTGCAGGTTCAAGTGCGGGATGGTGGGGTAAATCCAGTCCCCTGTCAGCTTCAACTTCACGATGAAGCTCTCAGCTGCTGCCGCCAGACAGCGAGTGACAAATGACCGATAAGCCACTCCACCTCGAGCCACAGTTGCAGATGTGGCTGATGCTGTCTGCTTTCTCAACACACACCTACCTTACCTTGGATCCACCCCCAGCTCTTCCCACTCCGGCCTGAGGCACCCCTACATCCAGCCTCGCTCGTCAACCTCGCGCAGCAACACGCAGCTCGGGTTGCCTGAAGCTTAGATCTCAAGGCTCCAGATTCCCCGATTCCAAACCACGTCCCGCCATCGTCATCCACCAACAAAGCTTCCCGACGACAAGACAACCTCCCACGAACCTGCACCTCACCACGAATTCTTCCATCGCCGGCCGTATTACGCCGTCTCTTCCAGAACACAAGCCGAATTCCCACATACCCCAAGCTCCCTCTAATTCACAATGGTAAGCTTTCCCTTGCCAGTACCCGGGGGCACCACTACCACCAGCACCACCAGCTCCAGTGACCGGGGTTCTTGGAAGCTATCGCCGCACCCATTACACGTCCTCTGGAGACCACAACAATTGCTAATGTGTTTGTCTTTCGCACCGGATAGACGTCGATAGGCACGGGTTACGACCTGAGCAACTCCATCTTCTCCCCCGACGGCCGCAACTTCCAGGTCGAGTACGCCGTCAAGGCCGTTGAGAATGGTGGCACATCTATCGGCATCCGCTGCAAGGAGGGTGTCGTCCTCGCTGTCGAAAAGGTCATCACCTCGAAGCTATGGAAGCCCAACGCCAACAAGCGCATCGCCACCATTGACAGACATCTCGGTGCTGTAAGTCGGCCCCTCACCCTGCCTTCCCCCCTCTCGCAGTCTAGACACATGCCCCCTCCCTCGCTCCCACATGTCTCTAGGCTTGTGTGCAAGCAGCTCAACTCCCATGCCCATCACTACAACATGTCTGTCTTGTTTCCGGCCACTCAACTCACACAAAAAAGGTCTACTCAGGCATGATCCCCGACGGCCGCCACTTCGTCGACCGCGCCCGCGAAGAAGCCCGCGGCTGGCGCGAGACCTTCAAGACCCCCATCTCCACCGCCGACCTTGCAGCCCGTATGGGCGGCTACCTTCAAGCCTACACCCTCTACTCCTCCGTTCGTCCCTTTGGCATCACCGCCATTGTCGGCGGCTTCGACCCCTCAACCGAGTCCCCAGTCGACGGCGAGGTCGGCTCCGGCCCCAAGGTCGGCGCCGGCGGCAAGGACACCTCCAAGAAGCACGGCGGCCCCTTCCTCTACATGATTGAGCCCTCGGGCTCCTACTGGGGCTACTACGGTGCCGCCACCGGCAAGGGCCGCCAAGCCGCCAAGGCCGAGCTCGAGAAGCTCGACCTCGCCGAGGGCGGGCTCACCCTCAAGGACGCCGTCAAGGAGGCTGCCCGCATCATCTACGTCGCCCACGACGACAACAAGGACAAGGAGTTTGAGCTCGAGATGAGCTGGATCAGCGATATCGACGGCCCCACCAAGGGCCGCCACGAGGAGGTGCCCAAGGACCTGCGCGAGGAGGCGGAGCGGTTAGCCAAGAAGGCGCTCGAGGGCGATGACGATGATGACGAGGACAAGAAGGACGATGAGAAGATGGAGGAGTAGATCCTCTGATGACTGACTGAGGATCGGGAGCGCGGTCGGGTTGCTATTAGTAGCAGCGGAGGCATTATGACAGAGAGACGAATCAAAAGATAAAAAAAGATCTGTCAAACACACGACGGGGCTCTGCTGCCAACGGGGTGGTATCTTTACGGCCTCTTTTGTGTACTTGTAAAAACAGCATGATGAGGGCTATGGCGGCGGGATCATAGACTAAATCAGACCTGGTTTGGGCACGCCAGTTCCGTGGTTCGCGTGTCACTATTGTGCCTGCAAACCTATGCAACACCTATGCTGAATCCATGAAATAGTAAGACAGCATATGACGGACGCAATGAGCCTGGTGGGCTCCACCGATCAAAGTGAGGCACAGAATAGATGGCGGCTGGCGGCCGAATAGAGCGGGGGAACTTCCGCCAACGTCCGAGACGGCACGCTCAGCAAGGGGCTCCGATGAGACGGAGCACCTGGGGATGGGTTCGCGACCGCTTCACAGAGACGGGGCATACCCTCGTTACTTGGTTCGCCCACACGCTCCTGCTCTCATTTCCTCGTGCCGCCCCCCTGCCATCGTTCTGGTATCCACAAGGGCGAGGAGAGACGGGGTTGGGCCGGCAGGACTAGATGGGCGGGAGGCATACGGGCTGGCTTTGTGAGAGTAGCACGACGTCATAGACGCAACAAATCACGAGTCCTCCCAGACGGAAGGCATTAGACGGAAAGACACATGTCGGATGACAATAACCAAGACGTGTTTTGTTCTTAAGTCCGTTAATTCATCTCATCAAACTACCAGATGACCCATTCATCCCGTCCTATGGTTTTCTCGCTAAATATTTGGAATCATAAAAAAAGAAATCCCAGAAGTTGTCACGCCGTCACAAGATACCGTTTCTCTAACCCTTGACAATTCTGCAAACCAAGTCGGAGCCGTCGACCGAGTCGCCCTCCTTGACCTGGAGGGTCGACACCTTTCCGTTGTGCGGCGCAGAGATGACCATTTCCTGGAGAGATTGAATTAGTAAATGCAAGACAATGAAAGAGGTGAGAGATGGGTTGAGAGACGGGGTTCATGAAGGAGACGAGTAGCAGGACGGGATACGGGACAAAACAAGGGGCGGAAACTTACCATCTTCA